GAGGGTTACATCAGCATCTCTCCAGCACGGAGAAGACCTGCATTTCCTCGCTTTGACCGCGGGAGACGCTGTGGAGACGCGGAGGTGTAGTTAAGCGAACCACACAATCTTGGGAAACCCCCAGCCTTTAAAATAATATGGAGGCCTACTCAGGAGAGGCGGCAGCAAAACTACCTCCCTGTTCCAGCTATAAACTGTGTTTTAATTTTGAGACTTCACTTATCACTTTGCAAAGTAAAAATGAAGGAGATCTGGAAGGAGGAGAGCGCAAAGGTACTCAGGTGTAGTCACGGCGGGGGCATTAGAAATCGTGCTGGCCACGATTCAGTAAAATAGGGAATGAAAATCTGCTGTGTTGCACTTTAATAAGAGCCATCATAGAAGTCAAGAAGCCCAAGCTAGTCTTTACTCGCCAACCCCCCTTCTTCTCTCTGACTCACATCCATACACAGAGAATCTTTTAGGAGAGAAGGCAAAAATACATCTTTAAAGTAAGGCTACTACTGTGTTCTGCTAATATTCCCCTTCATTGGGCATTTGGCCCAATAGGCCAGCAATCTGTATATATAGAATGACAGATTCATGAATTGAGTACTAAGTCACATTACTCAAAACCATCGTGACATTGGCATTCATTCTACATGGCGCAATTTCACTTGGAAATGACAGGGGGACCAGAGAAGGAGAATTGTTTAGGATTAAATGTTTAGCCTTCATGTGGAGGAATTACAAAGGCAACTTCTTTGTGATTTTTCCAGGCTGTATACTTCAGTCCACCTAATTCAAAGAGATAGAATAAGCCAACATGGCAATTTACTGTCTTTGCTTGCCCAGGTTGCAGATTCTACTCTTCATTAACACAAAGTGCTCATTCTATTGAAAGGAAAATCCAAGATAATTCCTCTGTTCTTTTTGTGTTCTATGTGCTGACTTGGCATTCCTGGTGAATGAGGAACCAAGCCCATTACTGAAGGCAAGTGAAGAGAAAAATGGGTTGTCTCTAAAGTAGAAGCTCCAATATTACAATAACAAAGTATATCTCATACAAAACAGCCTAATCCATAGTCTATTCTAATTATTCTCTCTTTGATGATTTTATTTTAATATCCTTTGATCATAAAGGTATTTTGTTGTTGCTATAACTTTTTAAAATATTACTAGGAGCAGAATTCAGCAACCCAAGCTGCACACCACGGAGCTGTGCTTCCTCCACGGGCAGTATTGAAATCTGAGGTTGAATAATTCTCTGGTCTATGAAGGCAGGGGTAGGCTGCCCTCTTCATCATAACAGGATAGAAATATCCCTGGCTTCTACCTAATGAAGGCTAGCAGCATCTCACCTCAAGACAATGAAAACTATTTTCAGACATTATTGGCCGTCTCAGCAGAAGCCATGGGGAGCAAGGAGAGAGCAGGACTCAGCGCTGCCAGAGTCAGACTCACAACGTGTGCCTGCTTCACTGTGAAGAGAAGCAGAGAGGAGAATCAAGCATGGCCAGGCACATAGGTAGTCCCAACATAGGGAAGATGAGGACAGAGGGCCATGAGTTTGATGATGACCTAGACAATATGACAAGTCAAGACCAGCTTCAGCTACAGTCTGAGGCCACATCTTAACAAAAAGGTTTGGAATAGAGATCAGTGGTAGGAAGTGCGTCCTTATATGGGAGAACTTCAGACTTAAAACAAAACAAACAAATAATAAATAATAGACAAAAAAAGAGAAAATGACTTTCCCTTACCTCACCATGTCTCTACTTGTTTTAATATTAATTTAGATTCTTCTTAGATAGAAAAGAGTCACTTTTTCAGAATTTCTAAAGCCTTATACAGTGTCTTTTGAATAGCTGCACTTTGAACTTCAAAGGAATAGTCAAAGTGTTCGGCATCCACTAATTCCTGCTGGGCAGGCTATCAGTAAACGCCAGTACAACTCCACTCTGAGTCTTAAACCAACAGTATGTAAAAAGATCAATATGCAGAAATTCAAAACTAATCAGATCCCTTCTTTAAATGTTGACACAGTATTATTTATACCCCCATAAATACATTCTTGGCTAAAATTCATACTAGGAGCTTGGCATCTGGCCAGTTCTATTAATATCTACTTATTTATACAGCACACTTGGCCAAGGATAATATTTAAGACAAAGTATGCCTGAGGGCATATACAATATCTCTTGTATTTTCAGTTTTAAATCTCCACATTGCTAAAAATATTGAGTCTGAACTTTATAAAACATCCCACCAAGGGCTATCCGCCATCTGTAGTGATATATAGTCACCAAGCATAATTAAGGCATATTTGTAATACTTGAGTTGAAGTCACTCCCTAAACACTAATAAATTGGTGGAAAAAAAAAAGGCGGCAATCTTTCCCATGACTTCTCTATGGGCTTATGACCCACTTCAGATTCACTGTGAGACGTAACAGGCACGTGCCCTCCCCTACGTGCGCCATAGTGAGGCAGAAAGTGCTGGTGTGTAAGACAGCCAGCCCTGCCCTTCCAATTCCCCTTGCTTTAAATTTAATGGAATGATTTCTCTTCTTTCTCTTCTCTCTCTCTCTCTCTCTCTCTCTCTCTCTCTCTCTCTCTCTCTCTCCCTCTCTCTTTTTTTGGAAGCACTCACTATATTCCAGGACTAGAAAGTCCTGGAAAATCAGTTAACCTACTTTCTATAAAATTGTCCACAGCCTCTGCACAGTTATGTTGAATCTGCTACTATTAATATAACTTTCTACTCCTACGCTTCTACACTGAACACAATCTTCTTAAATCTCTATTTTTTCACATAAAAAATGATAGTATATGTGTGTGTGCGTGTGTATAGTATGTATGTGTGTGTGTGTGTGTGCAAAAGTATACTTAGGTGTTCATTTATTTGGAGGTTCAAGAGTGAGTGGGATACAGAAGAGTCCACACACGAATGTTACTGATACTTTCAAATCCTCCCTATAACCTGGGAGTCTTTCTAATTTGCTCATGACCTTGGTCCTGGGCTGTCCTGCCTTTGCTTACCTTCATCCATCTGACTTAAGTGCTTCCCCAGGTGGCCTCCTCTCTGCTTAGCTATGCAATGTGAGATTGGTTCTTTGTCTTCTTTGCAAACTTTCTGACAGCTAATCTGAGCTTTTGCATGTAAATACCAAAGAAGGAGTTATTGAGACGGGCATAACATACCTACCTGTCAGCCCAAATGTCTGCAGAATCAACACCACACATGTGGGAGAAAGCCAACGGATCAACCCTTCGCTCAGCCTCTGTGGCTCTGGACTAATTTCAATGAACTCTTCCCTAACATCCCTGTGGCTCCGCCCCAGATAGAAATCCGTATTTCCCAGGGGGGAATAAGCAGGGCGGAGTGTATGTATCACCACTGTGGTGGATAGGACCATAATTATAATAATAAAATCATCCTGCTGGCAGGGTTCCCTGCATCTGTTAGCCACTAAACAACAAGAGACTCTACAGCGTAAGAAAAGTGACCAGCAAGATTAGACAGATGGGTAGACTGACACTCTGAGGACACCAAGTACAAGACTCGGCAAGTCAAATAGCTACGGCTTGGCAAACTAAAAATAAATATTAGAAGAGAAAAGCACCACCCTGCAATTCTAACTTCTGGGATAAAATTACCAAGATGGCTGCATTATCTATTTAGGCAAGACACAGAGACTTCACAAAGGCAGCCAGCGAGGATATAGGGCATGAAAGGGGAGGAGAGAACAGCTCAGCCAATGAGAAGTTTACGACAGGGACTTGGAACACAAGGATGCTGAAGGTTTTTTTTTTTTTTCTTTTAGTGTTTCTTCCTGGTGTTTAACCCTCTCAGGTATCACTCAATGCTGTTGTTGCTGCTGCCAGCGCTCTCTCTCTCTCTCTCTCCCCCTCCCTCCTTCCCTCCCCCCTTTCTAAAGAACTCTGAAACAAATCTACACTAACTGTATTCCCCCCCACACAAAGGCTCCACAATAAATCACTGCTACTGTATGCCAGCTGTTTTTGAAGCTATTGCTCCCAGCGAAACGGGGAAAAATTTTTTTTTTAAATTGCTGTCTTTCCTATCTTGGATTTCAGACTGCACAGAAGATCCTGCTGCTTGTGAAAGCGCCAGAGCACAGAGTTCAAGGTTAAAAACAGATCATGGAGAATCCCCCTAAGAAAAACGACCTGCTCCCAGGCTAGCGAGGGCTGCCTAGAAAAATCGAACGGGAAGTGAAACCTAGTTGAGCCCAGTTAGAACCGTATTTATCCTTTCTAACTGTCCATGTGAGGTCAAAAGGGGACTTGGCAACGCGGTTTTGCAAGAGGACTGGGCGTAAAAACACCTAGAGAGAGCAATAAATGACCGGGGAGGATTTAAGGAGTTTGGAGTGACCCCCACCCCCACCCCGCGCGCGCTCGCAATCCAGTTTGGTATTGGTGATGCTGACATTCTTAGGGGAGTGAGAAACAATAGCAAAGGCTTGGGGAGTCCCCAGATAGGTCAGCGGGAAAGGGGGTCGCCTTTGGGAAGGCTAGTTTGGAAGCATTTTTTTTAACTCTTTGTGTACCAGTTGGAAGATACCCCCACCCCCACTGCACGCCAACCCAGCAAAGAAAACAAAGTCTACCGTGGTCTCTTAGCCTAAAGTCATCCCGGGAAGCGCTTTCCTTTTGACAGAAGGGAGCTGATTCGCTAGTTGGTAGACTAGGGAAGAGGAGAAATTCAAAGACTTTTAAAAGGTCTGGGGCGTTTGTAGGAAGGGAGTTATGGAGAAATAAATAAATAAATAAAACATAAGGTGAAGGTTTGCAAGCTTGTGGATCTCCATCCTACCACTGGAAAGGCAGTGGAAGGGACGGAGGGCAGAACGGAAACGAAGCGATCGGGACTTTGGGACTTGGGGACTTGGAGAGGGAAGGGCGAACGCCTAAGGCTGCTGTGGATCTGAGGAGCTCCGGGCCAACCTTAGACTCGGGGATAGAAAAGGCGAAAACCACGGAAACTGTACTTACTTTCGGAGAGGAAGTGGGACGGCATGTCGATTTTATAAACCTCCTTGGCGTAGTACTCCTCGTCGCTTCGCTCGCGCTCGCAGGCGGCTGCCCTCCGGCTTGCCTTCTCCTGCAGTAAGTCCCTGGTACTGTTGTAGATGGAAATCACCTCCGGGGGGACCTCATCCGGCTCCGGATAGTCTTCCGGGGGGCTGGTGAGCTTCAGCTTGCTCAGGATCTGCCCGCGGATGGCCTCGATCCTCTTGCGCATAAACTGGTCCATGTCGAGGGTGCTGCAGGTAGACAGACTGAGCGCCACCGGGACCAGATGCAGGAGCAAAAGGGTTCTCAGCACACAGTAGTGCATGTTTTTAAAAGGAGGAAACGTTGCTGTTGTTGTTTAAAGTGAGAAAAAAAATATAAAAAGAAACTAGTAATTCTCAGAGCGGGTCAGGTAGAGTTGTTTTTAATACGAAACTTTTGCAAAGCAGTCGAAAGTCAATGCCCAATAGAAAAACGTCCCTGGCTGGGATTCCTTTAAAAAAGAAAATGCAACGCGTTTCCAACGTGGAGATATTAATATGCGATGCTGGGGCGGGGAGGGGGGGGGGGAGAATCTCTCACTTTAAGGAGTAAGAAAGGTCTGTTTTTTCTCCTGGAAGGGAGAGGGTGAGTGGCTCTGAAGTAGAAATAAACTTAAGAGGAAGAAATGGAGTTCAGTGTGTCAGGCTCGGGCGCGGAGTGGCTGATCTGAACTCCGATCCTCCGGCCAAAAGGGAAGAGACGAGAAGGTCCGGAGGTTGGCAGGAGGCACGCTGGGCCGCGGGGAGCGCTGAGCTGCGGCCGGGGCTGCGCCGGGCTCTAACTGAGATGTTCAAAGACCGAGCGGCTCGGCCCTGCCTTCCACACGTGTGTGGATGAGTGTGCGTGTGGATGTGTGCGCGTGTGCGCGCGTGCGTGTGCGCGCGCCGAGGGCGAGCCTGGCGAGCCGCGGGGAGGCAGATGCGCCCCGGAGCGGCTCACTCGGAGACTCGGTGGGGTACTGTCCGCCCCAGAGATCCGCCGAGGCCGGATCCGGCGGCGACGATCCGGCTCCTGCCGGCCGCTCTGTGGCCTACACCCGGCTGGGTCGCTCCACGTTGCAGTCGCCGCAGCTGCCTGCAAAGAGGGCCAGCCTCAAACTCGGTCCTGCAGATCCTCCTTTTCTTGCTTCAGGCGGCCAAGGGCGACAGAGATCCGCCACCTCCTTAACCCCCTGTGGATCAACACCGCCTCCTGGGCACGTTGGCTGCGGGCTGCCCCGGGACTTGCACCCTTCCCTAGCCTCTCCTGGCTTCCACCAAGCTTGCACTTTCTCGCTTAGGGTAAGTAGGTACTTGCGACCCTAAAATAGACAGACCTCTGCTGATACCTTCTCTCTGCAGTTGGGTTGCTCCAGAAAGGCTTCTTAAACCCTAATACTTCTCTTCATCCCTGGCGCCTGCCCTAGAGCTCAGCTCTGCGCCTTCTTTCTCTCCCACTTGCTCTCCTGCCGGCAGCCTCAGCAGCTCCGCTCCGAGCAAACCTTCTGCTGCCAGCAGATAACATCACGATCCTGCCCGGAGCAGGGATTTATAAGTGCTCCCCAAACCACGTGTTTGCCTTCAACAAAGTGACGCGCTAGGATTACAGTCAGAAGTCCTCTGTTACTAAGACCATGAGCTCTCTCGACCAACCGTTGAGGGGGTGTGGAAAAGGGGACGGCTCGTTGGGGAGGGCGACTGGCATGGGGAATTTGCAGTAGTCACTGTCTGTGATCACCAAGGGACTGTCTGTAGAGGGGCAGGCAGCTAAGCATCCCATTTCTCCACGGGGTGGGGATTATTCACTGGCAGCTTCCCTGAGTCTCTCCTGTATTGAGTGCCTGCACTCGCATGTGCAGGCTAACACACACACACACACACACACACACACACACACACACACACACACACACACACACACACACTGTTCCATGGAGTCCCAGAACACTCAAGGCCAGGCAAGCCCAGCCTTCCAATCTGAGATTCTGACCTCACTTTTGCGTTCTCAAGGACTTCACAACAGGTTGTTTTTTATTAGTCTGTTTACAATTCAGCCCTCTGTTTGCCCGTGAGCTAGCAGAAAACAGAAGCAACCCTTTCACCCAAAGCACGCTCTGTGTTACTGCTTTGAATAAAGGGAACTGTTGCCTTCGTTATGTGAGCCCTCTGCTCCTGTGGCTTCTCCTCAGTCTTCCTAGACAGAGATGAGCCACCGTCTTCCGCCTGTCAAAGCATATATCTAAGACAATTGGGTTTTAAGATTTTGTTGACTACTGTCACACAATACTCATAGCTTGACATTTTCTACACAATCCTGCCCAAACTGGATGGATACCAGAAGTGTTCTTGCCACTGGTCTTTTTACCTTTCACCTTTAGTTAGTCAATGTCAACATTTCAATCTTAGTGGTGGCTCATGGGGCCACAATGACTAGACAGGTAATTTAAGCTGGAAACTGTTGAGAACCCCCCAACCCCCGTCAAGATCTCTATATCATTTCCTAGTTCGAAAGGATCAAGCTTTTAGGGGTGCATACAGTATATGTGTCCATGGGGGGGATATATTAATAGAGGGAGCTGTAATGATATGTAATGATATAGCTGGCAAACATTATATACAACAATGAACAGTATTATGTGTATTTCACAGACAAGGAGACATAAGAAGTGAGGTCTGTTGCTGCAGAAAACAGGAAGGGGTGGGCCTGGGTTCTCTCTCACCATGCACTTCTAAGGAGTATCAGTCCCAGAACATTTGACAAACAGAGATTCTGAGGTTCAGTAAGTGTGGGAGATGTAGAATAGTCTATTCCTCTCTTACAGAGTCAAGATCCCCACAGTGATGGTCAGTGTTCTAAGAATCCTGCAGAAAACTCTCTTTAATCATCTCCCCACCCACCTTGAACACAAAATTCCTCTACTCCACTGACCCTGTAAAACCCTGGAATGAATGAATGGTTTCAACACGCACCTAAATGATTCTGAAAACCATATTTAAAAACCTCCATTATTGGCAGACTTCTTCCTTCAAGGTCAGCTCCAGATGGAAACAGGTCTCCGGGTTAGACTACCACCTACAATTCTATAAGCTGAGACAGAATTGAACAGGAGCTCCTGTGTGGCTGATGGTCTCATCAGCTAGAGTCATCCTGTGAGTGTCATTCAGATGCAGCTGTACAGAGAGGACACAGAGCAGGAACTACAACTGCTGAGGGCCAGTGTCCCTCTGGAATACAATAGTTTGTAGGGATGCTGCCAGTAAAAATCTGTTGAGTGCTCAACACAGGAGATAGGGCGTTCTCTGCAGCCAGTGAGCCTTTTACTGGTTGCTGAGACTAGCCTGGGGAACAGCCATAGGTACATTTTAGGATGAGCTGGTGGGTGGGCAGAGCAGCAGCAAGCCCACAGGTACTCCATCCAAGCAGGCAAGCATCCCCACAACATCAGTACCCACACTCTAGTGCATGTTAGTGGCTGAGCACTTACAGCTCTGGACCCCTTAGGCCTGATGTTAGACAGCTTCCTAAAAAGCTCCTTGCATTTTCACAAAGCCCTGGAGGTGACAGACACATCTTTTCTGTGACAGCAGGGGAGGAACCTCTCTTGTCTCACTGGAGATCAGTTCTCCAGAGCCACTTGAGTTTGGCATAAATGAATTCTGTCTTCAGCAAAGCTAAGGCCTTTGCATCTCCATCTTCAAGAAGCAAAACCACCACACCTAAGGATCATACGTGCACAGAGTTCCACAGGTGATAAAGTAAAAGAACATATTACATACACCATCTTGACTACCCCAGGGGTCGGGGAACTACTCTATGAGTTCACAGTCCTGCCCTGTGGCTTTATAGCCCAAGGAAGTTATTCAGAGATGCTTCATTTCATTACTTGTGAGAACAGGGACATATGCAGAAGGCTATGGGGAGTGTTTATAACAAAGTTAGAGCCTGGTGTCTGCTCATTAAACTTTAGCTGCTATCATCCTAGCCTCTCTCCATCCCAGTCAGGGGCCATGGCCAAACATGTCTGTGTCTGGTCTTCACTCTTCATCCAGGAAATACATAGGAAAGAAGTCACCCAAATCTTCTTGTGCCATTCTGCCCCTCGGTAACTGTAGAATCAACAGTCAAGAAACACACTTTTGATGAAATACAATACAAACCTGCTATCAAAGTTCAGTTAGGCATTGAACATTAAGATCTCTGAACACCCTAACGTAAGATGTTTGGTTTCTAGGCCAGAGAGGTTGGGGTTGAAGACGCAGCTGTTTCAACCAGCAGCCCTGACTACTCATTAATGGGTCTGTTATTCACTTCATCGTGTGGAGCGCCCACAGAACAGGTCTGCTCACTGCTGACCTGGAGTTTGTCCTCTGTGTCACAGTCATGGTCTGGTCTGGGACTCCTTCCTCTCACTAAAAAATAACTTATTTATGACAATTCTCGGAAAGCTTTCTCAATGCTTTCTAGCATTCAAAACAAACAAAACAGCAAGTGGGGGGATATGAAGCTACAAATGTTTTTTCAATCACTGTAACTAAGTGCAAGGATAATTCTTTTCCACTTTCCTGATAACTTCTATCTGTGCAGTTATTTATTTGTGTGAGTATGCGTGCCATAGCACACCTGTGGAGGTCAAAGGACAACACTCCTTCTACCTCATGGCTCCTGGGACTGGAACTCAGGTCACCATGCCTTTAACCTCAGAGCCACTTTACTGCTCTGGCTCTGTGATGTCATCTTTGAGTCCATAATTCAAAAACAACTCTTGGTCCACATCATTTTTTTTCTCATGATCTGTATGTATTTCAAAAAAAAAAAAAAAAAAAAACAAGTTTAACCACGAACTAACAGGTTCTCAGTAGAGTAATACAATAATAAAAAGAAGCACAGACATGGCTTGGTCAGTAAAGGCCTTGCCTTGCAAGCACAAGGACCTTAGATTGATCCCCGGCGCCTACATAAAAGCTGGATGCAGCAGTGTACTTGTGTAACCCCAGTCCTGGGAGACAGGGACAGGGAGGCTCCCTGGGGCTTGGCTCCCTGAGACTTGCTAGCCAGCTGAGTCAGTGAGCTTAAGGCTCAGTAAGAGACTCCTTTAAAAAATAAGATGGAGGGTGGAAGGAGAGATAGACTTCTGGCCTACATACAAGCACATGCACACAGGTGTGCATGCAGCCCCCCCCCACACACATGCACATAGGTGTGCATGTAGCCCACCCCCCACATACACATAGGCGTGCATGCAGCTCCCACCCTGAATAACAACAATCTACTCCTACTTTACTTGATGTCTGTACACTGAGCTCGGGATAAAGTGATGGGCAGGGAACATGAAGGGAAGGAAGGCACATAAGACACCTGTGCTGGGTGGAGGGAGAATGGTTAAGGGATAAAAACAAGGAGGGCCAGCAACCAGGCAGCCTTAAAGAACGAATCACTGTGATGACCATGCTCCTGGCCCAGATCACTCACATGTCCAGTCTTCCTGGAGACAGTTCCATCAAACAGCTGCCCAGTGACCTGGGTTGCTGTCGCTCTCCAGGTTTTTCTAACATTTGGTAATGCCTCTAATTTCTTGACCCTGGTGAAATCCATCAACTGAGACAGCATTTAACAAGTGCCATGCACACACAATGCGAGTGCTGAGACATGGGGCCAGCCGCAGAAGCCTCACTCCGGCTTCCCTTATACAGCTGTGTGGTTCAGAGACCCTGGACAGAGTGAACCATCAGGGCCAGGGCACTGGGAAAGAAGACTAAAGT